CTCTCTCCTGAAACCCAACACAGGGGAAAACTCTACATGTACCAGAGAATGGCAGGCGAGTCACACTTCAGTGATATGTACAATGAAAAGCTGTTTATAACCAGTGCATTGTTTTTGTCTTCAGAAACACTGTTTGCAAAAAAGTAAATAAAATGATAATATTATGGTCAATGTGCATTAAGCTATAACAGTCAATATTTCTATTGCTTGATCAATATTTTCAGCAATAACAGTCAAATCGACAAAAATGATGGACAATACATCACATCAATGGTGCCACCATTGGAGGGGTGACACCAAAATGAAAACTCGGGCACTCGGTCATGGACTGAGAGCCCAACAGTGTCAGGAGAGAGGAGGGGACCCAGCGGCATACCTCATCCCTCTGGGTGAACGTCCCGTCCTCTCTCAGTCGGAGTCCATCACGAAGATGGCCGCCGGCCAACCAGATGAATGTGCACGCGCGCGATGACGTCCCGGCGGGGTGTCACCCAGTCTCCGCTTCGGGTGACACCCGGCCTCGGGACGTCCCTGACATATGTACAGTCACATCAGTCCGTGAGCTTACAATCTAATGTCCCCATCTCGCATACATGCTAGTGCCAATCTGATGTATACTGGGTTATACATGTATATTTATTAGTGGCCCAGTAAGCTCCTGGAGAAGCGGAGCATATATCTATGAAACACGTAGAGACATCATCTCTGGTCACCTATTTGGTTAACATCAATAACTAAACTATCTGAACTTTTTCCAATATGTAATCGGTAGTAAATACTAATCAATGGGCGATATTTGGGGGGGCAATCATTTTCTGAGGATGATTTTAAAACACTGCCTGGGCCAATAAAACAAAAGGTTACACACTAATGTTTCGTTGGACCGCCTTTAGCTCTAAATACGGCACGCGTTCGCCATGGCATCGTTTCCAAACACTTAATGTCACAACATTTCACTCCAGAGTTGCATTCATTTTTCACCAAGATCTTATAGTGATGATGGGAGAGTTGGACCACTGCATAAAGTCTTCTCCAGAACATCCCAAGGATTCTCAATGCTGTTAAGGTCTGGACTCTGTGGTGGCCAATCCATGTGTGGAAATTATGTCTCTTGCTCCTTGAACCACTCTCTTTCACAAATTAAACCCGATAAATCCTCGCATAGTTATTTAGGAAAATACCTGTGCCATCAAGGAAGAAAAAAATCCATTGACGGAAAAACCTGGTCATTCAGTATATTCAATTAAGCAGCTGACCTCATTTTTGGGGGACATAACAATGATGAACCTAGACCTGACCAACTGAAGAAACCCCAGATTATAACACTGCCCCCACAGGCTAGTACAGTAGATAATAAGCATGATGGGTGAGTCACTTCATCTCTCTCTCTTCTTACCCTGATGCGCCAATCAATCACTCTGGAATAGGGTAAATCTGGACTCATCAGATCACATGACCTTTTCCCATTGCTCCAGAGTCCAATCTTTATGCTCCCTAGCAAATTAAACAATTTTTTTCCCCAATTAGCCTCACTGATGAGTGGTTTTCTTAGGGCTACACAGCTGTTTAGTCCCAATCCCTTGAGTTCGCCTCACATTGTGCATGTGGAAATGTTTTAAATTACACTATTAAACATAGCTGCGAGTTCTACTGTTGCTTTTTTTATAATTTGATTTCCACGATCAGCATCATGATTTTTTTCCTCTACCACATTTCTTCCTCGAAGATGATGGTTCACCACTATCCTTCCAGGTTTTAATAATGCAATTATTACCTTTTGTATCACTTGCCCCTTACTAGATTGTAAGCTGTCACAAACAGGGCCCTCCTAACCCTGTATTGTAAATTGCATTGCAACTGTAATGTCTTCCTTATATTGTAAAGCGCTGCACAAATTGTTGGTCTATATAAATCCTGTATAATAATAATGCTTTGGACCGTTCTTAACCCAATTTTAGCACTTTCATCAATCTCCTTAGATGTTTAATTAGCTTGATGCAGGCCAATAATTTGACCCTCCTGAAACAGTTACATGTTTCCATGAACATTGGATACATAGGATATGTCTTCTGACATAGTTGTTTAAGAAATGAGAAGATACTCACTGTATCAGTTACAGTTAAATAACTTGTCAGATGAAACACATTAATCCCTGCAGTAATTATCCAATGGAAGGCTCTTACCTATCCGCTTAGTTAAACCAAGGCGGTGATTTCTTTTTTTGGCCAGGCAGTGTATATGAGATGTAATGCTTTATTATCAGCACATCAGATAGCTGCATTCTGTGTTTTCTATTGTCCATAAATGTTGTACTTAAATATAATTTGGACTGTTGCAACTGGGTACCTCAAAAGTTTGTTCTTTCTCTTTCTAGGGTAAACCAATTCACTGGGATGTGGTACCCTATAGGTCAACCTATTCCTGTAGTAATTCATTATTAAAAGTATTGTTATATATAAGAATTAAAGTGACATTAAACCCTCAGATTTTTTAACATAAACCAAT